TCCTTCTCTAACTTCCTCCTGATTTACCCACTCGACCCCAACGGTGTGTAGAATATCCTTGTATGTCTCTGATTCACCAAATGTCTTACTGAGACTTAATTTGAAACCGTGGGCCTTGGATTCTAGCCCCTAATTAGTGATCCCAGGCGAGTCTCTCTAGACTTCTGTCTCTCCTTAAGCGAAATGGGCTGGGGCGGGGGAAGTTCAAGTAAAGGTATCCAAGTTCAGCTAAAGGCTCTAGGAGTCCTCTGGACTTGCACTTATGATTCTGGGAGTCAGTATGTTAAATAGTAGTTAAGAACACAAATTCTGGAGCTAAATAAGCCTGGCTTCAATTCCTGGTTCTTTGTAACCTTGCCCTTGGGGACAGGTTTCTTAACCTCTCTGAGCCTCCATTCCCATTTGTAAAATGAAGGTGAGAATTGTACCTACCCTTCAAGGCTGTTGTAAGGAGTAACCCAGATGTATGTGATGTGCTTAGCACCATGATTCCATAAATCATAGTAAATGTTGTCATTTTTATTATCTAGATAAGGGTTGTTCTGTTTCTCTTAGTACTTCAAAAGACAGGCATATTTTCACAAATTTTGAAGATACACTGTGGAAGGTCTGACTTAAAATAAGGGCTTTGTAACATCCTAGAAATTTATCCAGAGTGGTGGCCGTCAAACGTTAGTGTCCTTCAGAATCACCTGGAGGGCTAGCCCCACCCCTAGTTTCTGATGCTGTAGGTCTGGGATGGGACCCAAGAATTTGCATCTCTAACAAGTTCCCATGTGGTACTGATGCTGCTCATCTGGAGAAAAGAGTTTGAAAACCATTGACCTTGTGGATAGTGGTGGTGGTAATGGTGATGGTGTGATGAAATGGTGGTGGTGGTGGTGCTGGGGTGGTGGTGGTGGTGATGGGGTGGTGGTGATGATGGGGTGGTGGTGGTGGTGATGGGGTGGTGGTGATTGTAAGGCTGGTGGCGGGCCCCCTCCCTTCCCTGGATCAAAAAGAGAAGACTCATGAGACCAGACCCGCCAAGGACAAAACTGTCAGGCCCTGCTGAGTCACAACAAAGTGCACCTAGATAGGTAGAATGTTTGGCTCTGGGATTCCACAAAAGCACTCCAGCCGTCCTAAAATCCCCACTCTTCCCGCTCAATAGTCCCTAGCCAGGCCAATAGGATGTAAAAGGCCGTCAGCCCCTTCAAACTGCAGGCGACTTCCGCGGCCACCCCGCTCTTGCGCCCAGAACGTCGTCCACGGATGTATAGATAAAGGCACGTGGATGCCCGCCCCCAACTCTTTCTCTTTCTGTGTCTGCCTTTTCTTTTCGCCAACCCGCCGAAAAACTTACAGTGATAGTGGTGGTGATGGGGTGGTGGTGTGGTGGTGGGGTGATGGGTGGTGGTGATGGACTGGTGGTATGGAGTGGTGGTGGTGGTGTGATGGGATGTGGGTGATGATGGGGTGTGGTGGTGGTGGTCGGTGGTGGTGATGGGGTGGTTGGTGATGGTGGTGTGGTGATGGGGTGCATGGTGAGATGGTGTGGTGATGGGTGGTGTGGTGGGATGGGTGGTGATCGATGGTGGTGTGGCTTGGCTGATGGGGTGGTGGTGGGTGGTGGTGTGATGATGGTGGTGGTGGTGTCGGTGGTGGTGATGGGGTGGTGGTGATGATGGTGGTGGTGGTGGTGATGGGGTTGTGGCGATGGTGATCGGGGTGGTGGTGATGGGGTGGCGGTAGTGAAGATGTAGCACTGTGAAGGGCTATAGTCAGCTCCCAAACAGGTGAAGTTGAGGGATTACTGAGGTCCATGTCAATTAGCAGAGTGGTGTCATACATATTAAGTCACCATGGACAGCAAAAACAAACAAGTATATCAAAAATGAATCCTAAATCAAAAGTTGTAAGGGCAGCCTTTAAAAATCACAGGTGCTGGTCGGGCGCGGTGGCTCAAGCCTGTAATCCTAGCACTCTGGGAGGCCGAGGCGGGCGGATTGCTCGAGGTCAGGAGTTCAAAACCAGCCTGAGCAAGAGCAAGACCCCATCTCTACTATAAATAGAAAGAAATTAATTGGCCAACTAATATATATATATAAAATTAGCCAGGCATGGTGGCGCATGCCGTAGTCCCAGCTACTCGGGAGGCTGAGGCAGAAGGATTGCTTGAGCCCAGGAGTTTGAGGTTGCTGTGAGCTAGGCTGACGCCATGGCACTCACTCTAGCCTGTGCAACAGAGCGAGACTCTGTCTCAAAAAAAAAAAAAAATCACAGATGTTGGCTTTCAGTCCAGATACTTCTCACATGGGTAACTTTTGTTTTTTTTTTTTTAGAGATGGGGTCTTGCTCTGTTGCCCAGGCTGGAGTGCAGTTGGGTGATCATAGCTCACTGCAACCACTAACTTCCGGGCTCAAGCCATCCTCCTGCCTCCAGTGCTGGGACTACAGGCCTCACATGTGTAACTATATGCAGTCCCTTTCAGGATCAGTAACAGCAGGAATGGATATATTTAGAATGATTAATGAACAAAGAGACTGAATAGACAAAGGGACAATGGCCAGACCATATATGACAACAGAATTGTGACCCACATAACCCATGCAGTAACCAGTCCAGGAAGCCAAACCACAACCTCTGCAGCAATAGGCCCAGAACATCAGGACTGCCAGCTGCCCTGATTTTCACCCCCACTTCAACTCAGGACTAACCCAAGTTAGTCTAAGCATCCTCTGCAAACCAATCACACGAGATGCCGCCCCCAGCTTCCCTCGCCAACAATTTTCAGTTACAGCCCATCTGAAACCTTTCCTTTCTTCTATAGAAACCTTTCCCACCAGCATTTGAGTCTCCCCTCGTGTCTGACTCTGCCAAGTGCAAGTGATGGTGGCTGACTTCCTTGCCATAGAATGCCCGTCTTTCCTCATTTGGGTGGTCTTCATTGATTTCCACAGCATCTTCCCAACAGCGGAAAGCCAGCTAATGCTTAATAGTTTCAGGTGCTTGGAAATGTTCCTCCTGGTGTTGTTCACTCTAGTACCACTAGGTGGCACTACTCACTTGTGAAGTGCAACCAAAGCTGCCCCAGGGCTCCCAGGCCCGGCTAGGAAGAGGATGGAAGGGAAAAGATGCAGAGGCCCATCTGGCCATATTTCTCTCTTCACATGAACCAAAGGACTGCGATTTTAGCATCTCCCATGGAACACTGTTACACAGTGAACGCGATGTAGGACAGGTACCAATTCAAGTAACCTAGGGAAGTGGGTGGAGGTGGGGAATTGGCTGGCTCCAGGCTTCTCAGCCTCTGTGGTTTTGACATTCTGGACAGGTTAAATCTTTCTGGTGTGTGTGTGGTGTTTGCTGGGGGAGGCCGGTCTGTGCACTGTAGGGTGTTCAGCAGCATCTCTGGCCTCTACCTACTCGATTCGATGCCAGAAACACCCCCTGTCTTAGTCCATTCAGGTGGCTATAACAAAACACCATAAACTGGGTGGCTTATAAACAGCAAACATTCATTTATCACGGTTCTGGAGGCTAGAAAGTCCAAGATCAAGGTGCCAGTATCACTGGGTTCTTGTGAGAACCTGCTTCTGGGATGCAGGTTCCTAACTTCTCAGGGTATCCTCACCTGGTGGAAAGATGGAGCAAAGGGAGGTGCCTTGCTGTAAGGACACACCCTGCCCGGGTCAGGCTGCTCACTGCCCTCTCCCTTGCTGCTTTCCACTCCTCAGTTGCATTGTACTCCATTACTTCTCCTCCTGAGAATTTCTCCTCCTCTGGTTCGCACCTTCTAGCTTTCTAGATGGATTGCTCCAGACACCCTTCTCTCGGTGCCGTGGAATTGGCACTAGCAAGGTGCAACACCTGTGCTAACCAGGTGTGGCCAGGGCAAGTCCCTTCCCCTCCTTCTGCCTGGGGACTGGGGTGTGTTCATCTCTGAGGCCACTTCCAGCTGTGACATGCTATGCCCCCACCATGCAGTGTGCAGCTCTGCAGCTCCTGGGCCCCGTAACTTCTCTGTTCTAAAGCCTGATTGGTGGTCACAGCTGCTCAGCTGTGACGGTGTTGTCCTGGGGTCAGAGTGCCTGGGCTCATCTCAGCTCTGGCACTCACTCACAGTGGCCTTGGGCAAGGCAGCCAACCAACCTCTTTCTGGTTGTTTCTTCACCTGTAAAAGTGGCTAGTATTAGAACCTGCCTACTAAGTAATCTCTGTAAAGCATTTATGCTACCTGGCACATACTCAGGCAAATGTAGAGTGAGGATGAGAACAGGCAGCTGCTTGGTGCGTTTTCCACCTCCCTGATAAGGGTGGCCCTGGGAGAGCCTGAGAGCCCTTCAGCCTCATCTCCCGGGAACCCCACAGAGGAGAGCTGACTCTCCTAATGTCCCACTGCCAGCCAGGGCAGTCAGTCGTTCATCACCTGGCTTGCCTTTTCACCAGTCTTTTTTATTTTGATTTGATTTGATCTGGGAGATGTAGGAAGTGGTCAGATATTAGGGCTTCCAGAAAAAGGTTCCCTCAAGGAAGGTGTGGCCTCTGAGAGACAATGGGGTGAGGTATAGTCATGTAAAGGTGAGAGGCTGGGGTGAGTTTTGGTAGGGAAAGGTGAGCTGGCATGCATTGAGGCCACGGGCACGTTACCCAGCCCATAGCCTTGTGAGATTAAAGTCTTTTTTTTTCTTTTTAATTTTTTCAACATTTTTTTATTCTTTCTTTTCTTTTTTTTTTTTTTAGCACATGAAGCTAAAGAAGAGATTAAAGTCTTTGATGAGGCTTCCTACCCCTCTCTTCCCTCTGAGTCTGAAGAGACTGCCCCGCTGGGCCAGGACATAGGCAGGGAAGACCCTCAGAAGGAAGATATGGGAGCCTTGCGTCCTGAGTATAGACAGTCAGGTCAGAGCTGGCCTGACTGTCCTGGGGTTACAGGGACCACAGAGAGCTATAGCTGCTTACACACAGAAATCCACGCCTCTGAAGAGTATGCAAATCACTGCATCCTTATTCCTGTCCTTAATGTTCAACTGGATCCTCCAAAAGGAATGGAAAGGAATGTAAGCATAGAGAGTATTTGGCATTATGGGCTTAATATTTGAGAATTGCCTAACGGCCCATGACCTGGAAAGTCCATGACTTTGTTCTTTGTTTTTTATCATAAATTCACTTATCCTTATAAAGTTATGAATGCTGTAATTCTTTGTAGAAAAAAAAATGACCCTCCAAAATAAGCTAGGGGTATGGAAGTAAAACAGAAATGATTCTTAGCCCCAAATTATATGTTATAATGCTATTTGCCAATTCAGAAATTTTTAGGGCCAGGCGTGATGGCTCATGCCTGTAATCCTAGCACTCTGGAAGGCCGAGGTGGGAGGATCGCTCGAGGTCAGAAGTTCGAGACCAGCCTGAGCAAGAGTGAGACCCCCGTCTCTACTAAAAAATAGTAAGAAATTAGCTGGACAACTAAAAATATAGAAAAAATTAGCCGGGCATGGTGGTGCACTCCTCTAGTCCCAGCTACTCAGAAGGCTGATGCAGAAGGATCGCTTGAACCCAGGAGTTTGAGGTTGCAGTGAGCTATGATGACGCCATGGCACTATAGCTCTGGGCAACAGAGCCAGACTACTCTGTCTCCAAAAAAAAAAAAAAAGAAATTCTTGGGTATTTCCATGGTCCCCTGACATCTGCCCCCAAAAACAAAAGCCGTTTGCTCCAGGGCGCCCCCTAGGGGCCCCCAACAGCTGCCCGTCCCAGCAAAAGTAGTAGAAGGCTTGAGAGAGCATCCTGAGACAAGGAGAGAGGAGAGGGAGTCATCTCCGCCTAAGATCAGCTCTTTGCAGCCAGGGGAGGAAGAAGGAGCCCTGGGCCTCAGGCTGGGCTCTGCACACCCCTTCTCCTGGGTGGCCCCCGCTCCCCCTCCTCCCTTCCCACTCCTATCCCACACCTCCTGGATTACATCTGATTGGGACCAAGAACAAACCAAGCTTGGGTTTGAGGTTTGGGTGGGATGCCTGGCTTGGTTCTGTTTCCTTGGAGTGAGGCAGCCGGGTGGTTGTGGTGGGAATGGCAGGAACTGGCATCCAGCTGTCTCGAGGCAGGGGAGATTGGGCTGAGGAAGAGCCCAGAGATGGAATGACAAAGGCAGAGGAAAGGAGTGGGATGCCCACAGAAGACTCCACACGGGGAGCCCCCACTGCTCTCCAAGATGGCTCCAGGGCCTCTGAGTCCCTGCATTTGGTCTCCATATAGGAGGGGCACAGGGGAGCTTCAGACAAGGAGGTGTCAAGGTGAGGCTTAACTTTTCCCAGCCCTAGGGTAAGTTCTTTCCTTGCTCTACCTCACGGGCCTGAGGATAGATAAATGATTCTTCTCCCCATGCCAGCCTTCTAGATATTCAATCAATAACCGAACCTCTCGTCCATCGTCCACTGTGTGTATACCTTCTACCTATGCGCTGGCGGGCAGGTGACAAGGAGATAGAAAAGGGATCCTGCCGGCAAAGAGGCCAAGAAGGAAGGGGAGCTGGATCTCAAAGGGACAGAACAAATGCTCAGTCAATGTTTAGCATCCAAAAGGAATTTCAGTAGAAATGGAGCCATTTGAGGGCGCTGTCTGAAGGCTCTTTCTCAGGCGTTAGCCCCCTGTCCTGATGGGGCTGGCCTTGCCCCAGCCCTCAGTTCTTCTGGCTTCCCTTGGCTTATAGGGGAGCTGAAGCAAGTTCTTTGTTGCCTGCCAGGCTCCGGCAGAAGGTCCTAGACCTAGGAGAGGTTGGGCAGAGGGGAAGTCCAGCTCTGACAGGGGAGAAGAACAGCTGCCAACTTCCCCTTCCCCAGCCCTGGCACACCCTGTGTTCATGGAGAGAAAAGCAAGAGGAGTTCAAGAAGAGAATGAAGTAGCAGTGTGTCCTCCCCACGGGCCAGGCACAGGATCAAACCCTCTGCCCGCCTGTCTCATTGGATCCCACAACACTATTAGGGGGTTATAACCCTTGCCACTCCCACCCTACGGATGGAGATGCCGGGATTCTGAGGCGATGCAAACTGCTCCAGAGCTGGACTTGGCCATCCTGTTCCAGGACTGTGCTCTTCAACATGACGCTGAAGAAAGAGGAGGGAGAGGAAGGAGAGATGTTCTGCAGAGGCCCATGGCTGCTCCATGTGGGAGAAACAGCATTGAAGACTCAAAAGAAAAATCAACCCTGTCCCCTTCCTCTCATCCCCACCCTTCCTGACGTGAGGCCAAGCCCTACCTCCTACCTCAGGCCTCATTTGCCAGCATGGAGAGAAGTCAGGACAGACAGGGAGGGCAGGGAATGAATGTGTGCTTGGAGTAGTCAGTGTCAGGAGCTGGGGAAAGAGGGTCCCCCTGAGAGGGTCTTCCAGGGCCCAGTGCACAGCACCCACACTGGAGGGCTGCCCTGGGCCACCCAGCCTTCTGGAACCAGGAAAACTGCAGGGAGCCAGCATGGGCAGGGCTATGCAGGAAAGGAGAAGAGGGGTCATGTGTGTGACCCCTGTCACGGTGACAGAACCATAGGGTGGCCCAGTGATGGGAGCAGCCCGCTCTGAGAAGCAGGAGTGGGGGGCAGTGGGGGGCACTGTGAGAGGCAGGCTGGGACAGAAACTTGCAAACCACAGACCCCAGCATCATTCATCCTTCCTGACCCAAGGAACTGAGGCAGGGGTATTTTCCTAAAACAAGTTAATGCCCGAACTCAGAGATGAAGGCATGGCAGCCTGTGGCCTAGGAGTTGTCACTAAGGGGCCCCCTAGCCTCCTCTCTGTCATGGTCACCTAAGATGTGACTGTCAGGGAAGCCACTGGACTGTTTTGTGCATGGGGTTGGGGGAGGCAGCCAGCTGGGCTCTCAGCTCCATTGTGCTTGCATTTTGCTGGTTTGCTTTCTATACCCTGTGGCCTTGGGAGTAATTAACCCTCAAGAAGCCAAGTCTCAGGCCGGGCGCGGTGGCTCACGCCTGTAATGCCTGTAATCCTAGCTCTCTGGGAGGCCGAGGCGGGCGGATTGCTCGAGGTCGGGAGTTCGAAACCAGCCTGAGCAAGAGCGAGACCCCGTCTCTACTATAAATAGAAAGAAACTAATTGGCCAACTAATATATATAGAAAAACTCAGCCGGGCATGGTGGTGCATGCCTGTAGTCCCAGCTACTTGGGAGGCTGAGACAGAAGGATCGCTTGAGCCCAGGAGTGTGAGGTTGCTGTGAGCTAGGCTGACGCCACGGCACTCACTCTAGCCTAGGCAACAAAAAAAAAAAAAAAAAAAAAGAAGCCAAGTCTCTGATCTTTATTTAGAAAGTGAAAACTTATTGAATAATATTTCAGCAAACAAAACAGTAATTTAAATGCTTACACCTTACACTTTTTAAAAATGCTTTCACCTTACAAAAGTTTGTATTCTTAGAGTTTACCATGCTTAGTTGAAACGAGTATGCCACAAGGAGTTTCAGGAGCTCAAGGAGCCCTAGAAAAGCTTCAGAGAGCTCCTAGAATGAGTGAAACCTTCAGCTGAGAAGGAGAGACAGAGCTTTTTTCCTGTGACTTTGAATAAGTCCCTCAAATCTCAGGTCCCCAGTCTATAGGGACTAAGTAGTATCCGACTTTCCCATCATATGTAATCCTTTATTTTTCTCACTCTCCTTCCTACCTTTTTTCTCTCTTGTGCGCACCTCTTCTGTGGATTTGGAAGGCTGAGCCTCTCTGCTCTTTTTTTCCCCTTGCCTAAGCTTTAGGCCTCTCCACTGTCCCAGGAGCACAGCTCAGCCCTTCTGGAGGTCCCTGAGCCAAAGAGAAGAATGGCTTTCCTCCAGGACAGAGATTGGCTTGGAGCCTGCCCCCAACACCCACAAGGCCCATCTCCCTTTCATCAGGGCATTTCTCTGCTCCGGAACGTTCTATGGTCCCCCATTGCCCTCAGCATTAAATCCAAAACCTACCAAGGCCTCTTGAAACCAGGGCAGGCCTACCCGTCTGACCCCATTCACCACCACTCTCCTGTCCCGCAAGTACCTAACCTCTCCTTCCCTCTGCTCATGGCTCTTCCCTTGGCTCAGAACCGCCTTCCTCCCCTCCACCTCTCCACATCTACTCCACATCCACCCAACCTAAGCTCCAGGGAACTTCTTCCAATGCCCTCGCCTGTATTCACGACTCCCTTCCCTGCAGCCCACAGCGTTTTCAAGGGGGCTTCCATGTGGCAGTCCTAAATCATGCCATCTAATTGTGTGTCCTGTGTGAGTGGGGCAGCGGGCACTACGAAGTCATTTCTCCTCTTGGAAGCCCTTCCTGACCACCTCGGCCCTGCCCGGTTTGGGAGCCCTTCTTCGGGGTGCGTGGCTGCCTGGCCCTTCCCAGCCCTCCTCACTCTCATCGCCTGTCTTATGACTGTCATGACCCTGCCAGACCGCAAGCTGCGTGGGGGCAGGGTGATGCCGGACTCGTTGCCTGGGGTGTCCCAGGCATCAGCCCAGTCCCTCAAGTGTGTTCAGCGCCTGGAGTAAAGCAGGGCAGGGAGTGTGGCCGCCGCCTCGGTGGCATCTATGTCCAGGACCCAGGCCCGGCCTGGGTGCAATGGAGCATGGCACGCGGTGGTCTTCAGCACAGAAAGGGTTAAGCCCCCTCCCCCCCAACCCCCAAAAGGCGAGGGGGCGAGTCCGGCAGAAGGTCCTGTTTACCGTGGCTCCTCGCGGCGGCCGGGCCCTGGGAGAGGGGTTGCCGTGGCAACCGGCCGGGCGCCCGCCAGCTGCGGATTAGCTCACTGGAGCCGGGGCGGGATGGGTCGGGAGGAGGGGGCGCGCGTCACGGCAGATCGTCGCCGAGCCGCGAGAGGAAGAGGAAGGGGGCAGACCGGCGAGCCTGCGCTCGGCTGGCCGCGCGGGAGGGGCGGCCGAGAGAAGCGCGCCGCCGAGGCCGGGGGCGCGGGGACCCGACGGGAGCGCGCGCGCCAGAGACCCCGGGGCTGGCCGGCGGCCGGGGGAGGCTCGGCCGACAAAGGCGAAGGCTGCGGCCAATGGCGCCGGCCGCGCCGCCGCCGCGCGCCGCGCCGCCCGCCGTCTCCGCCCGCTCGGGCGCCCCCGAGATGCGCCCCGGAGCCCGCGGAGCCGCCCGCGGGGAGGTAGGGCCGGGCCCGGGGGTGCGGGGGCCGAGCTGGGGAGGAGCTGAGGGTCGGGGAGGAAACGTGGGGGGAGGGAGGGAACGGCTCCAGCTGCCTGAACCCGGAGTTGGGAAGTGGCTCTGCGGAGGAGAGACGGGGTCCCCGCGTGCGGACGTGGGGACACCAAGGCGCCGTCCTGCCCGGGCGCTTCAGCGCGGCCGCGGGACTTGTGCTAAGTGCCATCCACACGTCCTTCCTGGGCTCAGGGTGACTTGCAGGGCCGCGCCGGGAAGCCGCCGTCCTGGGTCTCGGAAACCTGCAGACACTTGGGAGAGCCCCCGCCCCGGGCTGCGCTGGGTCCCCGGGGGGCGTGAGTGCGAGTGGCGGAGGGCTTGGGGGGGAGAACTGGGGCAGCCTAGCAGCCAGGCCGGAATTTGCAGTCTTGGGAAAGAAAGCAGGAGGGTAAAGATGATTCAGTGCTCTTGTTTCTCCCACTTTCCCCCCAAGGATGGGAGCAGATTGAGCCCAGGGGAAGTCTCTTAACAACACAGGACATGATCATGTTTAGGAGGGTCACAGAGAACTGGTTCCAGACCACTGAGTAGAGCCAGACCTCAGTGGTGGACTCTGCATGAGAGGCCGGGGCAGGAAGCTGGGCAGTGCCCTCGAGGGGCATGATTGGGGCAAGGGAAGTGCAGCGACTCTGCTCTTACCAGCTGGTGCTGGGAAGGATCAGGCTGGCTTCTAGCTGGTGTTCAGATGCGCTTCAGGAATGTGACTTCACAAAGGCTCCAAATGACATTGGCTGGGAGTAATAGTTATAATAGGCACTCTACCGTAATGTTGTTATTAATATTAAACTCTTACACTCTCTGTGGTTACTCCATAGAAGAAAAGAACAAAATCTTTTCTCCTTACATCATCAAATATCAAACACAAAGAGTGGAGTAGAAAGTCTTTGGGGTGGGCAGTTTAGGATGAAGCTGAATTAGAAGAAGTCATCAAAGGCAAACAGAGGCTGCTTTTGAGGCAGAATAATGAAAAGGCTGGCAGAAGGGCTGGCCTCTAGTGCTTTTATTCTAGAAGATTTGAACCCTCCCTGTGTCATGCGTTCATTCACTTAAACAGCTCTGTGTACTAGGCATTAGGGACACAGTGATGAGTGAGACATCTCCCTTCTGTCCAGGAACGCACCATCCGATCTGGGCAGTCAGACAAAGCAGTAAAACCAGTCCTGGTCTGGTCTGGTCTGGCTCTGAGTGCTGCAGAGCTAGGGGAACCCAGGGAGGCCCCCTGTCAGGGAAGGGCCACAGAGTAGGTGATGCTTGGGCTGAGCCTTGAAAACCTCTGCACCAAGAAAACAAAGCAGGGAAGGTTGTTTCAGGCTGAGGGAACAGCATGTGCAAAGTCACCAAGAAGGCGGAGGAGAGGCAGGGTGGGGAGAATTCAGCGTGGTTGCTATGTGCAGGGGTGTGCATGTGTGCATGCACTCATGCACTGGGAGCGGTGAGGCAGGGGGCTGTAGGGACAGATGGCCGCAGGGAAGGAAGGATCGGTGAGAAGGAAGGAGTTCACTGAAGCAGGAGGGCTGGGCTCAGTTTGTGTCCTAGAAAACTCATTCTGGGTGTTGGGTGAGGTCTGGAGGAGGGGAGGCCAAGGTTTTGCAGCACCCAGGCCAGAATCACTGAGGAGTGGGATGGTAGCAGGGGTGAGGCAGGAGAGGTTGGAAGGATTCCAGAGATCCAGAGGCAGGACTTGGTGACTGGTTTGGGCATAGAGTTAGGGAACTTAGACTAAACCAAGTACATACAGAAATGCTTTGTTTTTCAGGAGAAAACAAAGCAAGCAAAAGGAATGGATATTTTGAATGGCCTGAATTTAGTAGATTACAACACTTGGACAATGCATTTGGCTCTAAGTTTTCTGGCAGCTCAGAGACAAACAAAAATACACTGGATTGCATAGTTTTGGATTTTGGACAACAGAAAGCATACAAATTAATATTCAGAACAAAATATTTCCTGGAAGTGAACTCAACTGGGAATTATGTGGAACTTTATGTAAAGACTAAAAAGTGACATAGGAAAAAAACATCTTCACTGTTGGTGTTACAAAAGATGGGAAGATAAAACTCCATATGACTATCTTCCTATACCATCTTTCTGTTACATCTAGGGGAATGTGCTGCATTTCTGTGAGGGCTGGGTGTCAGCTCAGGGTATGGGCAATTGTGGCACAAGGCAGCGAGGGCCAGGGGAATCCTATAGAGGAGACAATGGTCCCTCAAGTGTAGGAAGAGGCAACACCTACCCCCATGAATGTAGAGCAAAGTACCCAGGGTGCCCAACCATGAAGGGACGTTGGCACAGCATAATGTAGCCTGCAGGTTGGTGGGCTGAGACTCTGGTCTGGAGAAGGGGCCAGGTAGGGGGTACTATGTTGGAAGCCAGCATCCAGGAGTCCTGACCAATGGGGAAACAGGCAGAGAGAATGGGTACGACATTATAGTATTCCATTCATACCGGCAAGTCTACTTCCCAGGGTGGTCCAGGCCTTTCTGCCAGTAGAGCTGAGGTTGAGCCCGCTTTTAAGGAGATAGGAAAAGGGTGGGGCTCAGGAGACCAGAAATCCTCTCCCCAGAGAGGCCTGGGAGGGTGGGAATCTTGTTTGCTGCAACCCAAGGAAGTTACAGAGGAACCAGGAGTGGGAGCTGAGAGCTGGGAGGTCCTGCAGACTCAGGCATAGATCTCTTAGCCAGCCCTTCCCTTTGGTTTCTGCAGGAGGCAGAGAACCTGCAAAATCTATTATATGTTCATGCGTTGCTAATGGGTCCTCTATCAACTTCAAGCTATTTCTTTTTCTTTTTTTTTTTTTGAGACAGTCTCACTCTGTTGCCCGGGGCTAGAGTGCAGTGGCATCAGCCTAGCTCACAGCAACCTCAAACTCCTGGGCTCAAGCAATCCTTCTGCCTCAGCCTCCCAAGTAGCTGGGACTACAGGCATGCGTCACCATGCCTGGCTAATTTTTCTATATATATATATATATTTTTTTTTTTTAACTAAAAATCAAGGAGGGAATTTCTATATATATTTTTAGTTGGCCAATTAATTTCGTTCTACTTTTAGTAGAGGCAGGGTCTTGCTCTTGCTCAGGTTGGTGAACTCCTGAGCTCAAACAATCCTCCTGCCTCGGCCTCCCAGAGTGCTAGGATTACAGGCGTGAGCCACCATCCCTGGTCAACTTCAAGCTATTTCTTGCCAACTGTAGCTGTCTTAAATTAACATTGAGTAGGTATGGGATTCTATCCCCCCCCCAATCAAATTTCTTAACATTTTAACTTGGGGTGCACATTACAATATTCTTTTAAATGCTGGGGAGGGGATTTTAAGAATAACTGATGCGTGGGCTCCACCCAGGCCAATTAGATCAAAATTTCTGAGTGAGCCCTGGGCATCAGTATTTTTCAAGGTCTCCACATGATTTTAAGGTACAGCCAAGGTTCAGAGTGGCTGCTGTAACAGTAGGGCTCATCACAGGTAGGAACAGAAACCTCAGATTCCAAAAGATCTGGGGTGGGGTGCATGGGACACTTCATCAGTACTCCTGAGTGGCCAAGGCTGACCCTGTTTATGTTCTGAAAGTCTCCTGTGCTCCTCCTGGACTTGCTGCCTTGGCCCCCGAGGTCCTTGCCAGTCCTCCTCTGCTCCTTCCTGCAGTCACCTTGCTGAAGACCAAGGGGTTAGCAGTTCCTTCCCTGGTGCTACCCTGGATTGCTGTTTCTTGGAGAAATTCTAGTGAAACTGCTTTTTCACGGCTTTGTTGTCCAGACCCTTTCAGGCTGTGGCACCTCGTTGTCATCACAGCTGCCTCTTGGCTAACATTCCTGGTCCTCTGTGGCTCTCGGGCCTGGCCCTGGGCCCCAGCCATTAGCCTTGTGTGTCCAGGCATGGATCCTTCTCCTGCCACCGGAACCAGACAGCCTCCACTTGAACCCTGAGCTCTCTTGAAATTCCCGGAGCTGGTTGCCCAGCAGGAAGATTGCCAGGCCTGTCTGCCCCCATTAATTATAGGAGGCAAGCCAGTGCCTGGAACCAAGGCAAGGGATTAACTCAGTTCTCTACATTTGATGTTCAGGAGACCTCAATATGTCAGGAAGCTCAAAGTCAGACTCTCTTTTACCCTTCTGTTAAAAGGAGTGTCTGATGTGGGCAAGAATTTATCCTCTCTTCTCTCATTTGGCCTAGAAGTTAAACCCTTACCAGCTGGGACCCAGAATAGCTGAGCTGTCTTTGGCTTCCCTTTGACATGTCTGTTCTTGGCTTGTAGTCCAGAGGGGCTAAAAGAGAAATAAGCCCAGGACCCTCTTTTCTCACTGGCTGAACTATGGAAAAGCAAGTTATCATTTTTCTCCCTGGCCTTAGGGAAGGAAGGGGTGAGTCACCCTTGCAGCAAACTTAGGGAAGAGGTTAACTTCCCTCAGTGGTGGGAAACCAGGAGGTTACAGGCTCCCCTTCAGAAGGAAATGAACGCAGGAATTGGGCTGGAGAGTGAGGCCAGGGCAGGGAGCCACGACCGCTCTTCCCATGATCCCTTCCCTGGGCTGCTCATCGTAACTGAAGGGCTTGTCAGACCAGTGCAAGCGGAGTGTCAAATTTATTT